CCAAATGGTTATGTCTTTACCATTGGGGATATCGCAATATCTTGGAGGTCCACGATATGACCTTAGTTGCGAAATCTTTGAATCGTTCCAAGACTCACCTTACTTCACTACGCCACAAGTGAGACATGGTGTTAAGCATTTCGAAGTACTTGCTGTTTTTCATCCATCGCTAAGTCCTAATGATAATCCATGAAGATTATGTTGCATGTATCAACCCGACCAAGCCTTGATACATCAACGAAGTCAACGCCAAGACACATTGCATCTACATCTACATCAGCAACGCATCAGGCGATTGAAGTCATGCAAGCAAATCCCAGACAACCTTGCCGACCTCTACACGACATCACTGCCTGAAGTCAACCTTCCAGAAGCTTGTCAGAGGAATTGGTATGCCTAACTATTCATATGCAATGCTTGTAGTTCTCATGTGGAAGTTATGTCAAACCCAAGGGGAGTATCTAGAAATATACTCACTTGATCTTAATGTACTCTTTTTCCCTATGATTAGGAGCATTTTTCCCACTGGGTTTTTGCTACCTAACTAGGTTTTAACGAGGTACCTATCCTGGGCTGATCATACCCTTGTGAGTTCTTCTACTTGCATCCAAAAAACATGTAGTTTTGACTTAATGCAACTTCTCACTTTTCTCCTTAGACTATGGGTTTTTCTACCACCTTGGGTTTTACCATAGCGAGGTTTTGTGAGTTTTACTTTTTTTATGCATTCTTCCGTTGATCTGAGACTCGCATTCACTCATTATGCTGACGACTTCATCAACTATACTTACTTCATCACTGAAAACCTGATGCGCCATTTACTTGAGTATTTACACACTCAAGGTGGAGTGTTGCGGTCATATTCGATTAGGAATGTGATTGTGCAAATCCTAGTATATCTTGGAATAAAGGCACAATGGGGTGGAATAGAACACACCACAATTTCACATCTTTCTCTTCCCTCTCTGTCTGGCCTCCATAATCGTTTAGTAAATTATGCCTACAACAAGTTAGAGTTTTAATAAGGGAATTGTTTTTTTTTTTTGGTAAAGAAACGGAGAATACAACCCAAAGCTAGCTTACAACATCATAAGAAACAAAGCGAGTTCGAGAGACTCCATTAGTATCATCCATGAGCAATGATCAAATCCAAGCAGGAGGCTTATCAAATACATGAACGCCAATATCCATATTAAAACTCCAGTTTACCAACTGATCAACGACATAATTCTTCTCCCTGTAAATATGTTTCAACTCACATCTCCTCAATTGTCTCATCATCAATCTGCAGCTTTGTATAATTGTGTCAAGATGATAAAAGTTATCCATAAGAATTTGCTTACCAACATAACAACATACTTACAATCCATCTCAATGATAAGATCAGCAAAACCCTTATCCAAAAAAATCTGCAAACCAAAATATAAACTCCATAACTAAGCATTACTAATCTGCCATTGTCCCAAATTGACAGCAAAGCCTCCCAACCAATCTCCATAATGATCCCTTAGTACGCCACCAGCCCCAATTCGTCTAGAAATTATCCTTCTAAAGCCACCAGCCACAATAAGAGAATTATTATTGGCACTTCAAAATTCAAATTTTACATTCTAAACTTTCTATATTTGGAAAGAAAAATACGCTTATGAGAAGTGTTGAATAAGATTTTTGGAGTTTTAATAACAGTTAGAAAATTTTATTTGAACCCATACAATCTCAATCTGCACCCAACTTAAACTTTGATTGCATAATTACTATCAAGTACAAGATGAAATTAACAATAAAACTAAAATTTATCAATAAACCCACAGCTAATAATCAAATCCTACCATCACGTAATCTTTATCCTATCATCAAACCCTAATCATGCAATTTTTATTCTACGTTCTTTAATAAGCTTAGCGAAAGAGGTGAGGATTTTTCTAAAGTCTAACATGTTCCTTCCCTTGTACATGGGAATCGATGGCACAAGTATACATTTCTTCACTAACTTTGAGGTTAATTCATTTTTCTTGTCTGGTTCATTTGGTATTTTATATTTATAAGCATTTTTATGTCTTTTTTACTTATTTTTTCATTCAAGATTTTATTGATTTGTCTTTTCACTATTAATTTTCTTTATAATCATTTTTGTAGACATGAATTAGGAATGTTGTTTAAGATATCCGCTTGTACTCAAATCCGAACCCCTCCTCATAAATTAGAATATGATGATTTTTAATCTCAAACCACAAACTCATGAGATTAATGCCACACCTATGCATTTAACTACTAGATCATACACTTAGAACCATATAATTATCTTCAAATAGTAGGATTTAACTTTTTGAATTGCTGCTGGTTAAGAGTGAGATTCCCAATGTGATGAGTGAGAAACCCCTTTGTCATCCTCTCAATTATATCCTGATCAAACTGAAACATGGCACAAAAAATTCCCACAATCACTGGATCCTAGTTATTGAAAATTGAGAAAATAGTAGTGAAATCGTACCTATCATTCTGATAAAAATGAAGCAAACCCTTTGGGAAAACAAACACATCTCCTGCTGTAAGAACCTTTTGGAATGGTTGGTTTTGGGTGTCAATAAACCCAGCAACCACAATTCCTTTGCTCAAAAGAATAGTTCTGATGCCCGGGGGTGGGAGTAGAGGCTCACCAAGCCATCGATTCTCAAGTCTGTTCACACAATTGAGAGGCCAAGCATGTTGACAATTTAATTAAAGAGTAAGTTGAGTATAAAAAGAGGTAATATGGGTTCAAATAAAAATTTTCATAACAGTTCCCTTTAATAAAAGATAAAATCATGTATGCCACCACTATTGTCACCATACCACCACCCACCACCATATTCTTCTCCGCCACCTCTACCGTCTCACATCGACACAACTGACTTATTGCCAATGTTTAACCATAACCACCACCACCACTTGCACCTCCGATTACATAATTGCCACCATCACCACCACCACCTCCCATCACACCATCTCCACCTCATTATCCTCACCATGGCCACCACCACCTCCGCCACTATCATTCTCACCTCTCAACCAACATTTTCACAACCATCTCTTACAACCATTGTTAATACAACCATCCTCTGCCACCATCGCAGCCACCGCGGCAACCACCACTTCCACTTCCTCCATCACTGCCCTCTACCATACTATTGCCACGACCTATATCTACCGCTGCTAACACCACTGTTGTCTCCATTAATATCACTACTACAACCACCATTGCTACCAACACCACTCTCATCTCAGTCATGATCCCTACCACCATCACCATTACCATTGCCATTACCATCACCATTACTAACAAACACAAATTTGTTATATATTTTTTTACATTTGGTACCCAGCTCTTTTTCAATGTTTTTCTTCTTAAAAAAATCTTTCTCGGATTAAACTACCAAACGCGTTCTTAGATCATAAAATTGCAAATCCTATTTGTCATTTTCGTTTTACAAAATGGTTCTTCAAAAATCGTTTGTAGTACATTACCAGACAAGCCCTTTTTAATTGCTTCCAGTTCCAGCCAATCAAAAGCATTTATTATTGAGATTGTTGTAAGTAGTGAATTGAGATATATTTTCTACACTGCTAAAGTCGTCGATGAGATTAAAGTCATTCTTGATGATATAAAGTTGGAAATTGGCCACCAAAACAATCATAATAGAGATTGATCGAGGTGTCTTCAATAGAAGATAAATGCTAAGAAAATGCTCTGAAGGTGGGACACTCCATGAACTCTCGAAATCGACTTCCATTCAAGTTAATAAGAGATATGTAGGCGTTTGGTTGTGTTTATTATTTTTGTTCTAATTTTTCAAATTGTCCATGCTCAACACTGCTAATATATATATATATATTTTTTTTTTTACCAAACAATATTATCTAAATTAAGGGGATAGGTAAGTGGGCAAAACCTCACAATGTATCAGCAATAATGTGGTTCAAATTCGCCTTTAGCGAGAATCTAACCTAAGAGGTGAAGAAGAATACCACTAGACCATAGTACTAAGTTGCTTAACGCCGTCAATGTTATAAACCAACCAAATAAGAATATTGTAAAAAAAATTTCACATTTAAGTTATTGTTTAGCTCAAATAGGGGAGTAAACGAGATAAGTTGAGTACTAAGGCCATCTTCAACTAACCCATCCAAAAGGTCATAGGGCTAAAAATAGCTCGGAATGACATAAAAATCATTTCCAACTGAGGGCTAGGCCAAAGGGTTTGTGGGCCCCACCGGGCCAAAACCCTCAAATCAAGCTAGAGGGTTGGCCATTTCCAGCCAGCCCTTCAACCTAGCTAACTAGCGTCAAAATGTCAACCTTGACTTTGTGGCAGGTGCAAAAGGGTGTTTCAATGGACCATTTTCTAACTCAAGACAAACTGCAATGAAAGATCAAAACAATGTTAATTCAATTAAAATGATAAATTATTGGGGGGATTATGTTTGGCCTGACCCTTAGGCCCCTTCGGTTGAAGATGACTTTTTTGTTAAAGGGCTATGTTTGACCTATGACCTTTTGACTCTTAGGTTGGAGGTGATATAAAATATAGTCTAGCACTGTTCATTAAAATATAATTTTTTACAGAGCTATAAGGCTAAACATGGCCCTTTGGCCCTCCTTGCACAACATCAGCTCAAATAAGCTCGTCGACCTATTTTCAAGTTTGGTTCAAATGAATAATTCAAGCTCAAAGCTTGGTTTCGCTCGTTTTTAATCGGAACTCAAAGCTTTGTTTGGCTTGAATGAATTGATTTTATAGAGAAGCTCGAACTTCAGTTTGGCTCAGCTCCAAGACATTGTATTTTAAGAAAATGAATGTAATATTTGGATTTATGAGCCTAAACTACCAAAAGCTCAAGCTCGGTTCATTTTCCTAGCAAGCCTGATATACAAACCCAGCTGGAACGAGACGAAAACAAGTTGAGCTCGAAATGTTTCGAGCCGATTTACAGCCCTACACTAGTTTCGTTTATGAAACACATTTTCTTCCAACTCATTTTCTTTAACATTCTTGAAAATCAGCCACTGTAAACTAATAGACAAGCAAATGGAAAAAAACATGGTTACAGATTAAATGTGATTTCACTGAAAAACAAACGGAAATTCCTAGAGTGCGTTCTATTTTCAGACTCAGTACAAGTCTAAGGACTCTATCACACGACGAGCTTGGATGTGAAGTGCAGTTAGTCTCTGCTCCGGATCAAGAGTCGAACCAAACTGACTGGCTGCCCATATCAAGGAAGCAGATTTCTCACCCAAAAGCCGCCTTATGTCCTCATGTACAGTTGCCAAGGGTGGCCTATCCCTCCCATTTACGTGACCAATGAGCAGCAGCAAGAACTCTCCACATTTCAACCTAATCAAATGCAACAGGTGTTTTTCTTCAGTGTGCATTATATTAGCAACGAAAGATGGCCCCGTTACTCAATTGACAAACATGAAAATGAGCAACAGGACATAGCTCAACTTAAAACCTAGAAGGTTAGGAAAGACGGGATTTTATCAAGACTTGTCAAATGCAAGCCGAAAAATGGCATAACTCATGATAAAGATGCAAGGATTATGATGAAGAACTAGCACACACAGGACACAGCAATCGTCTGGCTACCACACCTATTTTTGCCAATCACCTCAGAATTTATCAAGAGGACTACTCATTCAAAAGACTTTACCCTCCAAAAACTACACTAAGCAGATAGAGCTTCAAATCCCAATTCAGGACAATGAGAACACCATCTCAACATCATAATTCCAGATATTGTGCACTCGAAATTAACATAAGAAAAAATAAAGCAAGCACAAGAGAAAATAAATCAAAACCTGAGATTCTCATCAACTTGCTTATCTCTTATGAGCTCTGCCACCTCCTCAATACCATGAAAAGTCTCAAAATCCTGCGCATTACACAAAAACAAAGACAATCGAAGCATAAAACACCATCACCACTCCAAAACCAAGCACAATAAAATTGAACCAAAACTTCAGTTTGAAGCTTTACCATTTGATTAGCTGATGAATCCAACATAATAGAAATCAAAGCATCCAAACAAGCTCCTTGCTCAATCACGCCGCGAGTCGGTAATATATTCATCAACACCTACACAAAAAACAATTACAGAAACTACATTTTCATCTCAGAAATCCAACCTCCACAGATTTTGGTTGAGGGTTGTGGCTACATTGAGTACCTGAATGGCTTTGTGCTGGTGAGCCAAGACCGCGCTGTCTGGATGAAGCAGGCAGCAACCCTCCAAAACCCTAAGCGCGAGCGAGACCTCGGAATCGGTTGAAGGGCTCGTGATTTTCAGCGGCTCGACGCCGAAAATGTGATCCAAATTCCGAACGATCTCATCGCCCGAATCTTTCAGCGAGTGCTGAAACAGCACCGGCACCACTGTAAAACAATAATTAAATCAATTGCAATAACAGAAGATTAAACAGAAATTACGATGTTTGTAACTTTCTGGTTACCTTGAAGCTCGGGGAGCGATTGGGTCTGAGAGAAGAGGTTGATGGTTGAGTCGGTCTCGGCGACCGATCGGAGGAACTTAAGTAGACCGCGGAGGCCGCGGACACGGAGGAACGAGAACTCGGCGCGAACGTCGCGCAGCCCGCTGCGGAGCGCGAGCGTGACCTCGCGGTACACTCTCTGCTGGGTCAACGAGTTGACCAGATCGCCGACGGCGGTGGATGGCGGTTCTTGTTCAGATCCGGACGAGGCCTTCGGTGTTATTCCCTCGCTCCATAGCGGCTTCTTCAAGTACATCGCTCAGTCTCCACTCCCAACTCCGGAGAATTATTCCTTTCTCTTTCTGGCTTTGTCTACGGAAATGTTCGGATCCAAACGACGACCGTTTCGGCCCTCTTTGGGCCCCTTTTCGGCCCCATAACACAGGCTAACAAACGACGACGGTTCGGTGTAGCATTGTAAGTTTCACAGGCTAACAAACGACGACGGTTCGGTGTAGCATTGTAAGTTTCACAGGCTAACAAACGACGACGGTTCGGTGTAGCATTGTAAGTTTCCAAGTCCTGTCTCACATATCCTTGCCGGTCACGTGATTACTCAAATTAAGGGGCGTGCTATTCATGCACATTTTTTATTTTTTACGCATTCTTTTAATTTTTGATTTTTAAATTAAATAAATCGAAGAATATTAAATAACAAAAATTAGCACATATTATGTGAGAAGTGAAAAAAGACATATGGATAACACACCCATATTTTTACTTAATTACTTAAACAAGAAATCATATTAAACTAAGTCTTATTGCACACACCTTTGCACGCTGGGAAGGCCTCTTAGTATTATGGAGATATTTTTCAATATGATCAGAACACGGGATGATACACCACGTGTCATTATACAAATAGTGAGATATGTGTATTAAAAAATTATTAACTTAAAAATAAAATTTCCTACCACTTACATAAAAACACGTGATATACCATCTGTGTTCCTGTTACAATGAAAATTTTCTTGTTATTATGGGCGCTTAGCGCCCCTAGAGATTGTTTAGGTTAATTTTTTATGAGATATTTTTATATAATGGAGATGGGAGAGTCCTTTTATATTTATCAAACTGTATAAAAATATTTTTAATTTTGTTTTTTCAATTATGTGAAAAAAGATTTTGGATGTTTTGAGATAAATTCTAGAGTTCCCCTTTTTTTTTTAAAAAAAAAATTGAATTAGAACAATCTATGGCATGTTTACTAATCCGTAATTAAATTGAGAGGAATTGGATTGAGGGGGAATGAAAACTAGGTTGATTACTATATTCCCCTAACATAAATAAATTATTTTCATACTAATTAATTAAATTAAATTCTTAATTAAATTTATATAATAAAATTCATCTATATAAGCATATATATAAATATGTTTTATTTATTTATTAAAAGATGGCAAGAATAATGTTCAGTCCATATAAGTTGTTTACTAATTCACTTCAATCGGAATGAAAACTAAGTTGATGACTAAATTGCCCTTACATAAATAAATTATTTTCATACTAATTAATTAAATTAAATTCTTCATTAAATTTATATAATAAAATTATCTATATGAAAATGTATAAATAGGTTTTATTTCTTTATTAAAAATGACATAATGAGTGTCAAATGAAGGGGCAACGTTGGGATAATAAGAAATAAGTGAGGGTATAATAGGAATAAAAGATGCATTCCCGATTCCCTTACCCTCAGGGAATTCAAATACCTCACAAAATTAGGGAATCCTGTTCCTCCAATTTCAGGAATTGGATTCCTTGTTTCGTGTGGGCTCCACCACTTTTTTATTCCTTAAAATTTAGTAAACACCGTGTAATCAGACTTCAATTCCCTTTCCTTATTTCAATTACCCTTACGTAAACGTGCCACTAATGTATTCCCATGCTCTTGACTCAAAACTTATGTGCCTTTATTTACCATTAATAGGAGGAAAGAGAAAAATTCGAAACTATTAAAATATAATAATGGTTCTCTAATCCCGTTACTGATTATGGTTACCTGGTCCTACAAATAACTAATTTCATATAAGTATATCACAATTTACGAAGGGAATTGTTATTGGCACTCCAAAAATCTCATTCTACACTCCAAACTTTCTATATTTGAAAAGAAAAATACACTTGTGAGAAGTGTAGAATAAGATTTTTGAAATGTCAATAACACTTTCCTTCACAAATACATATTTCTTCTCTTTTTAATGCTCACAAATACATTGACATCATCACTCGTTATTTTATTTCTTCTCTTATGCTTTTTAGATGTTAAGCTCTTTGGAAAATATACTAAAATGAACAATTATTTATGTCGTCACTATTTGATTATTGTGATTATTGATATAGAACAGATGACCGAGTGGATTAAATACGAAACATACCGAAGAAAGAAAAAAGAACGCACCAGGAATTTAAAAATTTGGCGTCCGAGCTTCGTTTTGGGTGCATAATACATTTCTGGAAAGAGCATGACATTCCTTTTCAAACTCATTGTTTCTTTGTCACATAGGGTGGATTTTAGCCATCCGAGATTGTTTAAACATCCAAAACATCATTTTAAAGTCTGTAATAAAAATCGAATTTTTGGTTTTCTGTACAATTTATGTCATTTCAATTTTCATAGGACCACAAAACTTACACGGGGCTGAGTTGCTTAATTAAGCCTTTTGGCTTCTAGTGTAATACACATTCAAAATTAATCAAATACACCTTTCGATTTTCTCCTACACACTGGTGAATTCTAGAACATTGTTCTTCAATGGTTTATGTAGACTTGTAAACGGGTCAGGTTTATTGGATTTGGATCGGGTTCAATCCGACCTGTTAAGTTAACAGCTCATCCAAACTCAACCCGTTAAGTTCACGGATCATCTAAACCCAACCTGTTAAGCTAATAGATCATCCGTCTCACCGTTAACAATTTTTTTTTTTTTTTTTTTTTTTTTAACATTCCATCCAATCTGCAGAGAAATAGAAAGCTCTGCCTTCTAGTTTGAGAGAGAGAGAGAGAGAGAGAGAGAGAAATCGGTGCAGTCTGTACAAACTGCATAGTGCCGGCTGCTCCAAATTCAGCTACCCAAGAAGCCCCATATCAACAAGCAGCTCCAGATGGCGATCCATGGCGATCCGTGGCGATGGCTTCGGAGCCCGACTCCTCCTCTTTTGCTCCGTCAATAGATTCTGAACCCAATCCCACCGCCGATACAAACCCCGCCGGGTCCTCCCCCCCTCTCTCTCTAGGAAATTAACAGAAAATGGAAATTTAAAGTTCCAATCTTTGTTTGGATTGTTAATTTGCACTGTGAAATTTATGAGATTGCAGACAACTTATTGGTAAGATGAGGAAGATAACCGAAGCTAGAAGGGAAGGAGTACATAAATCTAGAGCAACACGTGCACGAGAAAGAGTCGTGAGGGACATAAGGTTTTTCTATTAAGACTATTGAAATTACACAAAAATTCTTAATAACAGGTGTTAATGGATGGTTAACGGGTTTTTTGGGTTTATCCAAAATGAGCAGGTATTTAACGGATAATTAACAGGTTAACCTATTAACCACTCGACCCGTTTAACACTCATCCAATTTTAACGGATCAGATCAGGTCGGGTTAAAAATGCTAGGCCTAGGTTTACGTTTGTATCCCCTGTTGGCTTTGTGCTGCGTCATTATTGTCATCAATCTTCGTTTGCTGTGTAGTCAATATTTTTTTTAATAAGTTGTTAATATTTAATTTCATGAATTCAACAATTATAATTTAATTTCTAATTATTTTGCGCAATCGCTCAAGCTGTTTTTAAATAATGAATCTAGTGAATAAACTCTCCACCATATACTACACTTTCTACAGATTCAAGCTCTAATTTTAGAAAGCTTTAATGAAAAAGATTTGGGTTAAATTTATTTTAATAAAAAATCATCTTATGACTTTATTTAATAAAAATAACTTGAAATTTAGTAAAAATGACAAAGATTTAATGTAATAAAAAAATAAAAATTAATGAAAATAATTTCAAAAATTTAAATCATAACCCAAAAAAAACCAGGTAATACATTTATTTAATGGTTAAATCAAAGCTCAACATCAAACCAACACAATAAGGCCGGCCCAAGGAATGAGTTTCCAATTTTCCCTAACAGCAAACCTTTCACGTCAGATCCTCTCCGTTTCTCAGTCATTCCACCTAATCCCTATTTCTCGATCTTCATTCTCAATCTCTCTTCCTAATCTCGATCTCTCCTCTGCACAGAAACAATTCATCCACTTTTGTAATCGGATTGATCTCTCTACCCCTCTCTCTCTCGATCTCTCCTCATCTCTGTTTTCATTTTCACTTCCATTCGCATTTCAGTATTCCACCATTTTTTTGAATCACCATATTAGGAGCCTTTGAGGATGAAGGAATTGTAGTTAAAGATGAGCCACTCAGACACCATTGCAGCTGATGGGCTCGCCTCTCCAGAAGCGTATCAGAGTGATCTACCTTATTCGAAGAGAAAGGTTGATGATGGCGCCCTGAATTCGTGAATGACTGTCGCCAACTTGGTGAATGACTGTAGCCAAATGGAATTACTTGTCCCATTGCTCCTGGAATTACTTTTCACTCTGCTGTTTTCTTCCTCATCACCCCACTTTACAAACAAGAAAATGGCACACTGTAGATACCAACTAAGGTTACCGCTGCCTTGGAGCCTATTGAGGACAGCAGAGAAGTTGTGAGATTATACGGAATTCACCTTGGAACCGAGATGTGCAAGAAGATTTTGGCTCATGGTATTATGACATTGCATCTTTATACTCTCAACATGGAGAAATCTGCAATGGCTATATTAATGACTACATCCTTGGTGATGTTTTTGTTGATTTTGGTAGATAATGACTACATCCGTGGTGATGTTTTTGTTGATTTCTGAATGAGTTGTTTTGTCAACTCTTCCATTTCTCAAATCCCATAAAAGTGGTGCTTACGTTACAAGTCGGATTATAAATTTAATGTCATTAACTTGTGTAATAGTACCTCATTGGGATTTTTTATATCCACCCTGTTTCATGCTACAAATTGCATTTGCATTCGTGATTGATCGCCGCACCGGCGTATATCATACTTCCACAGTGGGTGGCCTAATGGATACGATCTGGTTTTTTGTTGATTCACTTTTCGTATGTAGTTGTGGCAATGCAATCTCTTTATTAATATATTTTGTCTCCGCTCCTACATTGTTCTACTCGAAAGCATCATCCAGTCCTTCATTATAAAAAAAGAAAAATTGTTGTGAACCGTGTGGTAGGAGGAAGAAATGCACATGGAATGACATAAAATGCTAACCAAGACAGAAAAAAGACAACCTACTCAAATTTGTT